CAAATGCCAAATTGCATTCAAGGGAAATAACTTTCAGAAGAATAGCTAAATTAACCAAGTGTAACTTAGCAGACATGCTTGAAAAACGCAATAAAATGCTCTAAATTTCACTACCTAATTATTATAAACAATCTTTTATATTAGCTATGCAACCGTGTAAAAGAATATATTTTACTCATTGACTACTTAACTACAGGTTTTCTTTGAAAGTCTAAAAACGGTAGCTTTATTATAACATACTTCTAGTCAATTTTGATGACTTCAATATTATATCACCTTCTTCTAAACGACTAGAACTATATAATAAACTAGAATACCCGTCATCCGTTGGATAACTGTGGGTTTCGGGGGTCATCCATCAAAAAAACATCACGTCTGTCACTCAGAGGCATAGCGACCCTTCCCGGCGCCCGGGGACAAAGTTTTCGATTTGAACCCCCCCCTCAAACTTTTGATGTGCACCCCCCCACACTCAAACTTTCGATTTGAACCCCCCTCAACCTATCAATTTATTTTTCCAAACCATTTTGGCGCCCCAACATATGTCCCCCCCCCCCTTCCCCCCTCCACCTCCCCACCCCCCCCTTCCTCCCCCCCGCCTCCCCTCCCCACCCCCCGCCTCCCCTCCCCACCCCCCGCCTCCCCTCCCCACCCCCCGCCTCCCCTCCCCTACCGTCCCCCCCCTCCTCGGTACGCTACTGCAGTGTCACTTATCGTCACAAAAAACAGACCCCACATTCAAATATATGTTTTTTATCTTTTAAAAACACCGAAAACACCGATTTCGGACTATCCCTTCATAAACTGACGTCACAGGTGACCTACTCAACTCTACTTCACCTGCCCAGTGTCCTGCCAAGTCTCAGACAACATGTTTTTATCGTTTAAAAAACAATTCCAGCCGAGCATGTATCTGACCACACTATCCTTTCATATGCTTAGGACAAAGAAACAGATGAACTCTACTTCACCTGCCCTGTATCTTGCCAAGTTCAGATAGGCAACGTTATCATTCACATCTAAAAAAAAAAATTGAAAAAAAAAATTTCATTGACATATTGGTCTAGAACCCGTGCCTCCTGCATGAGAGCTGACTACGCTACCATTTTAGCTATTTACTCGTGACGTCACAAGTGAATTTTTATACTATACTATGTGTCTCCTTATGCAACTTGATTTACGCGTATAGATTCTAGATCTAGATCTAAAAATAAGTCTAGTAGTACTAACTTTCAAATTAAATTTTATCTTAAATAAGCCAAACAAAGATTTATATAAAATAATTAAGGCCTGAAATAGATTCTAGATGTAGAATTTACATTGAATCTAGTGACCTACATCTAGGCTAGATCTAGATCTAGGCTAGATTCATAAATTTCCTTCGATAGCTGATCTTTAGATCTAGAGAAATTTATCGTAAAACTAAATGAAAAAGACAGTTGAAAATTGATATAAGTGTTGGAACGTAATAAATACAGCAAACGGACGTATTGTTAAAGTTATGACCGACAGAAAATTAGATTTAGAACGCGTTAAACTTTTGAATGGGAACACAATTTTCTTCAATAGACGCCGCCATTTTATTGTACTAAAGAGTAAACAAAAACCTGTGACGTCACTATTCCCACAAAGTTTAGTCAAGGTTTTAACATTTTAAAAAAAAATGGGTTATTCTGCGTAGGAATAAATCAATAAATTAATTAACGTCTTTAAATAAATTTGTGATCAACAGTCTGTCTGCATTAAAAAATTATTCTCTACCTGCGTACCATTTTACAGCTTTCCAGATAGAGTCGAACATATCACAATTTTCGATCAGGCAAACAAATAAATATTCAAACATGTAAACAAACTTGACTTTTAGTAGTATATAGATTTTGGATCCCTTAAATAAAGGGACGCTTTTCAAAATATTCCAATATATGTGTAACTAATAAGACAGCTATAATTATTGATGAAAGATAAAAAGTTTATGGCTAGTTATAAATTCTAGTCTATATAATATTATATATTAATACATTAAGAGTGGTAATATATATTCCTAAAAAACGAAAGATTTTTCAGCTACAGTACGCCTACCTTTCTTTCTAGTGTATTCCGTCCTGAATGGAAATCATTTAACTTACGATAAAATCGACTACTCGATATACTCGATATACTCAAACTCTACTACATTCACAACACATCAAACTTCAATACCATAACATAACTAGACTCGACACCAACTCGCTTAACTTCACCAAGCTCTACAAACGATGCTCCCAATCCACAACGATTTAACTGGACCTACTACTACACGTTAAAAGTCAACACACTTCGATACCTTAATACCACAAGACTCGATAGTCCCTAACTCCAGAACTACGATACTTAATCACCTGCATTCTCATTTCTCTACTACCAATCAGATTCCACTAGACCTTCAAATACACAACAGCAAATAAAAATGACGCTTTAACACTTTATACTTTATATCTACTAAACCATATCAGCAACAGCCCTCCGCCGTTACTCCCAAATCTAAACGATTCATCAAAACTTACCAAACAAGTACAATACTTTGAACGTCATTACAAAACTCTATACACCAGAGCAGATTTCTAATTGAAAGTAAGAGAAACGAGACTTACAAGCCCTATTAAAAAACAAAATTGCACGTGTTTTGGAACGCCTCGTCATGCGCTGGAGCGATCACTAAATCAACATTCAAATCAAATCAAAATTATGTGATATAAAGGCAAAGTGACTTTCCAAATTAGGGAGGTGGGGTGCATTTTCAACATCGTGAATAATTATAGGCCTAATTTGGGGGGGGGGGGTGGGGACGTAAAATTGATAGTTTGTCCTGGGCGCCGAAATAGATCGCTACTCCTTTGTATATACTATCTAAAGTTTATAAAAAATAATTAAAATTATCAATTACGAGCTGACCCGCGCCCTAAGGATACGCCGCTATTTAGTTGTTTTCTACTTTTCAGTAATTCATAATTTGTGAATTCGACATCACCCGCTCTCTCCCCCCCCCCCCCCTCCGTGAAAGCGTCCGTCTAACGACGACAGTTTACAGACGACAATGAAAAGATCAAGGAGAACTTGGTTTCAAATTGTTTAAAAGCTAAATTATCTGCCCTTAATAGCTGTCCCATTGTAAACATTCGGGGTGAACCACAGCTCACCAGACTGGTGGGGTGTGGGTGGTAGCGATAAGCCTAGAGAGCGGGGTAGGAACGGCTAAGCCCTTACTTGGTGGCGTCTTGTATGGTCCCCGCGTAGAGAATTATATATAGATTAGGTACTTTTTTATAATAGCAATTAAACCTTTTTGCGCCCCCTAGGGATGGCGCCCTAGACGACGGCCTAGTTCGCCTTATAGGTAGCGCCGGCCCTGAACACATCATAGACATAATGTGTCCGGTGTAACATGGACACACTGTGTCAGACACATCATAGACACATTTTTAGACACAGCGTAGACAGTGTGTCAAATATATGGACGCACTGTGTCAGATACATCATAGACACATTTTTAGACTCAGGGTGGACACAGAGTTTCAAACATATGGACGCACTGTGTCAAACACAACATAGACACGATGTGACAATTTCTGTGTGTCGCGTCAAGTTGTGACAGCTACTCCATGAAATTAAGCTAATTGCCTCCACCTTCAAGATGACATTTGTGGAGGTATGCCAAGGATAAATTAAAGAACGTCTGTCATTGGTTGCACAACGTTAGTGTTTTTTTCCCCACAGAGATGTATGTTATAGATTGTTAGCTTCAAGTTGTCTCCCTTATGGTATATATACATTTTATTAAATAGCCTGAAGATGTCTCCGTTTTGTTATAGTTGTTTATATAAACGCTTTAGCACATAAATGACACATCATTCATGTAAAGGGGAATTCTTGTAACGTTGTGTGATGTGAATGGGGGAAAGGGGTGTTAAAAGTGTTGTAACAAAACGCTTTTGCGTTTCATAAAGTAACTTTTAAAACTTAATATTAGCAGTTTTTCTCAATTTAAAATTATTTTGTTTTGAAAATGAAATATCTATATTAACTCATCTACAGTTGTCTTAAAACCCAGATCAAATCACCTATATTATTTACTGTGTGTGTGTGTGGGGGGGGGGGGTAGTGTTATTCCTATATCGTTGACTTTAAGCTTAGATGGATTTATGCTTAGATGACTTTATGCTTAGAAGACTTTATGCTTAGATGACTTAATGTTTAGATGACTATGCTTAGATGACTTTAAGCTTAGATGAATTTATGCTTAGATGACTTTATGCTTAGATGACTTTATGCTTAGATGACTTTATGCTTAGATGACTTTATGCTTGGATGACTTTATGCTTAGATGACTTTAGTTCAAACTGTTGGACCTTTCAAGCCTTATTGCAGAGGTATCGCTGCCTCGACTCAAGTACTTGTTGCAGGTATCGCTGCCTCGACTCAAGTACTTGTTGCAGGTATCGCTGCCTCGACTCAAGTACTTGTTGCAGGTATCGCTGCCTCGACTCAAGTACTTGTTGCAGGTATCGACTTTGAGATCGAGGCACCTGTTGCTAGAATCGTCGCCTTGATTTGAGAAAAGTCGACCAAACTGTGCCAGTATCGATCTACTAACTTCAACAAACTCCCTTGGTATCGACATTTGTTTCACCTCTGGCGCGGCACAAAGGTGTTACTGTTGTGCGCTTTTAAATCGGTATCGCAACACTCATCAAAAGAATAATCGATTACCTATTTCAGACAATTAAATTTAACACACAAAAAATAAAATAATCAGAGTAATAAAATTTTATAATAGCTTCACAAGCTTTCATTGTAAATGAAATTAGGCGCGAAAATACGCCCTCGCCTTCCCCACCTTGCACGTGGCTTTGGTCGACGCCTTTGATGTGGTGCCATTTCGTAAGACAAAGATTGACGAAACAATTAGCGCCGAAGTTTCCTGAAAAAGACTCTGGCGTCCATTGATCCTCAGCTCTCGTCTGCCCGCCATTGGCTGAACGTCTGCTTCTCCAACTTGCACCAGGGAATGCTGGGTAATTAGCCACACCCAACTTCCCCGGGGGTGAGGAGATTTTTGTCAGTTGAACATTGTCTGGAGATCTGAACACACGAGTTTTAACATTTCATCTTTTGATACAGATTCTAAAGGTGAGTGTTTACATTTTATTTGATTTTGTTTTTATCACAACATAGGGCAAAATGTTTCAAGTTCAGCATATACTGACTCTTTTGCCAAAGTTCAATACAAAATTTGCATCAAGATTTTTACACAAAATGTTTAGTGTTTGCAGATATCTAGCATAAAATGTTAAAAACTCAAATGAACATTGCACCAAAAGTTAAAAATTTTAACCGAATTAATTTTAATTATCTTTAGATTTTTTTTTAATCAAATCGAAGACCAGATGGCGAAATATCATTTGTCGTTGTGAACTTTAAACTTTAATACCATAAGCACCTAGAGCTAGAACAATCCTACTTTATAAACAAGAGAGCAAGTCGACAAGATTAAGATCTGATGTTACTCGGATTAGTGAAGACAGTTTAGTGAAGAGCTGCTCAAAGTAACAACACAACCAATGTCGTCTAGACCAATGTTTTCCTTTAAACAAAATAGGACGAAAGAGAGCAATACACCTTTAGATCACATAATGACTGCTAGGGGAAAATACATCAATTACACGAAAACAACAACAATTTCTGGGTTTAAAATTTATGTTTAATTAATTTCCAACGAATTTCCTAACGTACTGTTTTTAGCTAAAGAGTTCAAATTATTATTTGTGTGTTCTGGTAATAATTAACACTGCCAATGTTTAGTTTCTGTATTTTAAGTGTATGCTTCAAAAGTTTTTATATTGTTTTATTTCGATTTATAACTTTAGAAAGATCACTGTTCCTTCAACTATAAAAACATAATGTGTTTTATAATCAGTAATACATAAAATACATAAATAATTATATTATAAATTTATTTAGGATAATCTTTGATAAAATGAGGACAAAATGTGTATTTTTAATCTATGGTTTAGTTTTGTACAAGTTTGTGTAAAAATAAGAATGAAATTAATCCTTGTTGTAATCATAACATTTCTGTTTACTTCATCATTAAGTGACTGTTTGTGTTTAGTTTCGTATATATTGGTGTTAAAGTGAATCTATATTTAGCACCGCTTGTTATTATGGTTTTCTGAATGATTTTAATCAGCTGAACTGTGGATGATTGTTTTATTTAGTTTCGTACAAATTGATGTTGAAATGGGTTTACATTTAGCCTTCGCTAGTAATCATGGCGTCCTGGTTTGGTCTCGGCAGGAAGGTCCATGGTACCAGAACGAGGCCTGACGTCACGTGAGCGCGTGCCCGCCATGAAGTTCAAGGTGATCATCCTAGGCCTGCTGTTGTGCAGGGTCGCAGGTAACGAGGACTGCAAGGAGAACTGCCTGCGGCTCAACGCCCACTGCCCGACCCTGGAGGGGGACGGCTGGCCCGGGGCGTACGGGCCCAGCATGGCTCACATACCAGAGGACGATTGTTATCACAGCGTTAGGACCTGCTTCTACTCCTGCAACAACTGACGCAACAGTACATGATTCGGACACAGTGTTGGATCAGTTGTGATAGTGTGTGTTGGATTCGGATATTTTTTCGATAATTCTGGACTGGCCTATTGAGACTTGTCAACATTTGTTGAAGTTTGACACCTGTCTATATTTAATTTTGTTGACACAAGCAGAGTTGACTCTGAGAGTGATTGTGTCAATATTTTAGCTTGTCTGCCTGCTGTTTTACCTGATTTTAAACAAAATGTCTTTTGTCGTGTCTATATTTAAAAAAAAAACTGTCTATTTTCGAGTGTATATTAAAAAATATCTATTATAGTGTCAATGTTTTAAACAGGTTGTCTATTATCGTGTCTATATTTAAAAAAAATGTCTATTTTCGTGTCAATGTTTTAAACAGGTTGTCTATTATCGTGTCTATATTAAAAAAAAAGTCTATTTTCGTGTCAATGTTTAAAACAGATTGTCTGATATAGTGAGAATATTTTAACAACTTGTTTGTAATGAGCTGATTAATGTAACTAAGAAAATAAATTCCCGCGATGAAAGTTTGAATAGTCGGACCTATAGGAAAACAATCACCGGTATCGTCTTGTCATTTTACGACATAGATTGTTACAGGCGGTAAAGGGTTAAGGTTTTTGTTGGTGTAAAATGTTATCTTTTGAAGGTCACTGTAAAGTTTAACATTGAAGGTCACAGTCTAGAAATTCGACATTGAAGGTCACACTGTAAAAGATTAACGTTGAAGGTCACACTGTAAAATGATAACGTTGAAAGTCATTGTAAAAGGTTAACATTGAATGTCACACTGTAAAATGCTAACATTGAAGGTGAAACTGTAAAATGTTAACATAAAATGTCACACTGTAAAAGGGCAACGTCGAAGGTCACACTGTAAAATGTTAACGTTGTAGGTCACACTGTAAAATGTTAACATTGAAGGTAAATGTAAAAGGTTAACATTGAAAGTCAAACTGTAAAATATTAACATTGAAGTTCACACTCTAAAATGTTAACATTGAATGTCACACTGTAAAATGTTAACGTTGAAGGTCACACTGTAAAATGTTAACGTTGAAGGTCACACTATAAAAGGTTACATTGAAAGTCACACTGTAAAGGGTAAACTTTTCTTCTGAAGGTCAAGGTCAAGCCATGCTGCGTGTCCTGGTCCTGGGCTGTCTGCTGCTGACGGCCGGCCTGCACGAGACTGACGCCGAGTGTCTGGAAGACTGCAGGAAGGTCGAGGACTGCATGCTCATCACCGGCCTGCCCATGATGTTTGGTCCTCCCTTTGGCGCCAGGTGCATGCAGAAGATGCTGGACTGCCAGGAGAAATGTAAACACGGAAAAGATTAGAGAAAACAGCGAAATAAAGCGAACTCTTTATAGTTTTTTTTCGAAGTAAAAGACTTTAAGATAACTCTGTTCAGGTTTCCGAATTATCTTTGTTACCTCCCTTTAACTCTACCAAATTAATGGTTAAAAAGTAGAACAAATTATTATTTGTATTTTTGTATCGTGAAAATGAAATAAGAGTCAGTTGGTTAATAATCTAAATGTAAAGAGTTATTTATTTAAAAATAAAAAGTCTTTCATTCAACGTGTTTTCGTTAAATATTTTGCGTTTTTGTTTGTTAAACTTTGTATTTTTCAAACTCGTGGTGACACATTAAGCCGAATCCATACATTCAATACGTGATATTGATATAAAGTATCGTAAGCCTCAAACAAAAACCAAAGTATCGATATCATTAATTTATCACGTAGAAGATATGTATGTATGGCTAACGGATAAACATTATGCGGAGCTATTTTGTTATTTATTTTGTAATCTGGCCATTATAACCTCCTTGCCTATTGCCCAATATTTGCCGAGGTTCTGCCTTGACGTCTGAGTTGTAGAATTAGGCAATAGCTGCCATACAACATCAAGCCTAACATACATGGATAGCATACAAGTGAAACACTGATCAATAATATGCATGTTTTGTTTTATTAAATTAGTTCGAATTAACAATGCTTATAGAAAAAAAGTTATATATAAAAAAAAAAAAAACTTCACAATAATAAATATAAAAACCAAGTTTATGGGAACATTAATTAGAAATTGTGGAACATAATGATGCATGTAATAAAATTTACATAAAACGAGTTAATTAATCATTTTTGACAAGCTTAGTTAACCAAATCCATAATTAAAATTGATTAACTAAAGCTACAGAAATCAATGTGAGTTACTCGCACTGTATTAGACAGGGTTAACGAACCTGAAAAGAAGTTCCGGACGGTGTATTGATACAAGTGAAGAACTTGCGTGAGCCGAACATGTCTCTCCACTAGAAATATAGGGCGTGTATTTATAGTCTAGCTAGCTTACTATGATACGCCATATTAAATTGAACAGATAATAATGATTATAAAAGATTAAACTCTCATTGAAATCCAAAATAGCAGATATTATAGTTACCAGAACAGCATTAATTTTTTTTTTATAGAAAGTACAGAGTCAACAAATGTTTTCAATCAACGCGTAAGATAAACAAAGTATAGTTGAAAGAATGTTTTCAGAGTGAGTGGGCAGTGTTTCTTTGGGGCATCTCTCAGATGGAAGGGAGACAATGCAGGTCCGTCTACTCTTCCTCCCACCCTGACAAAATAGAAAAAAAAATACTTTAGCAAGTGTCGACCTTTCAGGAAGTTAAGAGTGCCCCTACCCCCATCTCCGGAGAAAATATCTGAAAGAAACCCCGCGGGTGGGGTAGCCAGGGTAATCATGACACGGCCAGTCGAAGTAGAAGTCACTGTCAGTACTGGTGTCAATGCTGCCTGTGTCAGGGCTGGCTAAAGGTTAAAACAATAGGTCAGATAGAGACAGGTGGTTAGGTGAGCACAGGAACAATAGATGATGTGTGGGTGACCACAGCATCAATAGATGAGGTGTGGGTGACCACATCATCAATAGATGAGGTGTGGGTGACCACATCATCAACAGATGAGGTGTGGGTGACCACAGCATCAACAGATGAGGTGTGGGTGACCACAGCATCAATAGATGAGGTGTGGGTGACCACAGCATCAATAGATGAGGTGTGGGTGACCACATCATCAACAGATGAGGTGTGGGTGAATAGCATAACACAAACCCCACAATAACATCACGGTAGGGATCAAGGTCATATAACATCACTTGAAGGTGAAGGTCACAACAATGTGCCTCATGAGGGATAAGGTAAAGGTCGCAATATTCAGTCGCTATTTCAACCCACTGTAATGTTGGTGTCACGACAATATAATCTCTATCATTGTCTCAAAGTGGATCACACAATCCTGACACATTGCCACCTTACACAATCTTGACACCTTGGCACCTAACACAATCCTGACACCTTGCCACCTAACACAATCCTGACACCTTGCCACCTAACACAATCCTGACACCTTGGCATCTAACACAATCCTGACACCTTGCCACCTAACACAATCCTGACACCTTGGCATCTAACACAATCCTGACACCTTGGCATCTAACACAATCCTGACACCTTGCCACCTAACACAATCCTGACACCTTGCCACCTAACACAATCCTGACACCTTGCCACCTAACACAATCCTGCCACCTAACACAATCCTGCCACCTAACACAATCCTGATACCTTGCCACCTAACACAATCCTGACACCTTGCCACCTAACACAATCCTGACACCTTGCCACCTAACACAATCCTGACACCTTGCCACCTAACACAATCCTGACACCTTGCCACCTAACACAATCCTGATACCCTGGCACCTAACACAATCCTGACACCTTGCCACCTAACACAATCCTGACACCTTGCCACCTAACACAATCCTGACACCTTGCCACCTAACACAATCCTGACACCTTGCCACCTAACACAATCCTGACACCCTGGCACCTAACACAATCCTGGCACCTAACACAATCCTGACACCTTGCCACCTAACACAATCCTGACACCTTGCCACCTAACACAATCCTGACACCTTGGCATCTAACACAATCCTGACACCTTGCCACCTAACACAATCCTGATACCTTGCCACCTAATACAATCCTGACACCTTGGCATCTAACACAATCCTGACACCTTGCCACCTAACACAATCCTGACACCTTGCCACCTAACACAATCCTGACACCTTGGCACCTAACACAATCCTGACACCGTGGCATCTAACACAATCCTGACACCTTGCCACCTAACACAATCCTGACACCTTGCCACCTAACACAATCCTGACACCCTGGCACCTAACACAATCCTGGCACCTAACACAATCCTGACACCTTGCCACCTAACACAATCCTGACACCTTGCCACCTAACACAATCCTGACACCTTGGCATCTAACACAATCCTGACACCTTGCCACCTAACACAATCCTGATACCTTGCCACCTAACACAATCCTGACACCTTGGCATCTAACACAATCCTGACACCTTGCCACCTAACACAATCCTGACACCTTGCCACCTAACACAATCCTGACACCTTGCCACCTAACACAATCCTGACACCTTGCCACCTAACACAATCCTGATACCCTGGCACCTAACGCTATAGAATCTGTTCCAACACTATCCCAACCACCGCCCCCCACCCGTTTCCTGTGGCTCTTCCGGCAACTTTCCCCACACCCACCGAATCAATCTATTTTTACGATCAATTTGGCAGTTGTCAAGATCTCAAAAAGCCTCCCGTCAAGAGAATCAATAGCCATTAAAAAAAATAAAATATCAAAACTTTTTTTTCTCTCACAATTAGAGCCGCCATTTTCCCTGGCAAATATGACGTCATTCGGCCGTTATGCGATTCCTCGGTCGGGCTGAAACAATTGCATCTACGCGGCTTCTTATTGAGCTCACTTCCGGCCAGGTCACGCTTGGGTGAGTTCACTGGATCGATACCCACCACGTGACACAAAGTAAACAATCGCGGCAGGAGAAATGAAAAAAAAAGCAGCCAAGTCAGGCGTATGAGATGAGGCCAGTGAAAAAAATAAATAAATTTGACAAGTTTATTAAAAAGTTGACGCGAGGTTTTGACGGCCAGACGAAATGTGTAAGGGAATGTGGGTCATTTTTCGTTAGACGTCTTTAATGTGTAAGGGAATGTGGGTCATTTTCTGTCGGAATTGTGTCGGAATGTGTGTCAATTCCTGTCGGACAGTCGTAAATATGTATCAAATTTGTATCTTACACTTATGTAAGCATCAGAAGAAGCAAACAAAGGATTGTTAAAAAAAAAACTTTGAAAAAACGTTTGAAGCCAAGTCTCAAATTTAGTTGTTCACGTGGTTCATGACGTCACTCCTCTGTACACTATTTACACATCACTAGAACAGAAGTTCGTCCAATCAGAAATGTACACGTTTTGTAAACATCCGGGTCACGAGAGTATCACGTGATCTTGACTAACACCACGTATTCACAGACTTCTAGGATATTGTCTTCATTTAAATGTAAATTCCAAACAAATTTTCACTTTTAAATTCTTTGGATAGACATTCATATACACAACATCATTAATTAACATAATCAACCCTCATTATCTGTGGGAGGGGGGTGTGTCAGGAGAAGACGAGCGGTTCCGGCGTTGGACACTCGGACTTCCGGTCCATCTCCTGCACCTCGTCCTCGTCGTATGAGATGGAGGTGAGGGTGTGGAAGGCGTGGATGGCCACCCGGTTGACCCGGTGCTCCTGCTCCTGTTTCCTGTCCGGCATGTACTTGAAGAAGTTCTCCAGCGCCGCCTCCTCCTCCAGTTCTTTCTTCTCCGTCTTCAGGTAGCGGACAATCATGACCATCACACCTGGGGAGGGAGGTGGTCGAGTTAAGGCAGGTAACACCTAGTTAAAGAGCATTGTTTTTGAGTCAACTGAAAAGTGCCGAGTTCGAACCCCCGGGCAAATAAGGCTCGATAGTTCATACAACTAGCCTACCCATCTAGGAGGGAAAACTCCAAAAATCAATTAACCAGCCACGTTGTTTGTTTTTTGAAGAACAAAGGCTATGGATGCAAATTTAGAAAAATAAAACAGGCTGAAGTCTTACAAAAACTCCGGACATAATCGATGCTATCACAAACTGCTGGCAGGCACTGGTGGTGGCACTGCATGCATTCTTTATGTGCTGTTTACAATACTCTCTCTAATCTGTTGGCAAGCAGTCGATAACAACCCGGTGACAGCCTGTGAGAGAATCCCAGACACCAACCCGCCGAGTGACAAACCCAGATACCAACATGTCTAGTGACAACCCCAGATACCAACCCGTTGAGTGACAACCCCAGACACCAACCCTTCTAGAGACAGCCCCAGACACCAACTCGTCTTGTGACAACCCCAGTGACAACCTCTAACACAAACCCTTCTAGTGACAAATCCTGAAAACAACCCGTTTATTGACAACGTTAGACACCAGCCCTTCTAGTGAAAACCCGACACCAACCCTTCTAGTGACAACCCCAGACGCTAACCTTTCTAGTGACAACCCCAGACACCAACCCTTTTAGTGACAACCCCAGGACCAACCCGTTTATTGACTACCTTAGACATCAACACTTCCAGTGACAACCCCAGACACCAACCCTTTTAGTGACAACCCCAGGACCAACCCGTTTATTGACTACCTTAGACATCAACACTTCCAGTGACAACCCCATACACTAACCTTTCTAGTGACAACCCCAGACACCAACCCATCCAGAGACAACCCCAGACACCAACCCTTCTAGAGACAACCCCAGACACCAACCCTTCTAGTGACAACCCCAGACACCAACCCTTCTAGTGACAACCCCAGACACCAACCATTCTAGTGACAACCCCGGAAACCAACCCGTCTAGAGACAACCCAGACACCAACCCTTCTACTGACAACCCCAGGACCAACCGTTTATTGACTACCTTAGACACCAACACTTCCAGTGACAACCCCATAACCAACCCGTCTTCTGACAACCCCAGACACCAACCCGTCTTCTGACAACCCTAGACACCAACCCTTCTACTGACAACCCCATAACCAACCTGTCGAGTAGAAGACCAAGACAACCACAATGTACACCAGAGCACCAAAATCCGACTCGGCGTCCGTGTTTTCTCTCCGGGCTTTCCCGCTGTGCCTGACCTCTTTCTGGACGCTGTTGATGACCTTGACACAGCTGGGCAGCAGGGCTGTCATCAGCTGGACAGGCTGGGCTGTCGTCAGGTTCATGACATCACCGGCTGCTAGGTTGGTCAGGTTCATGACATGGCCGGCTGCTAGGTTGGTCAGGTTCATGACATTGCTGAGTCCTAGATCCGTCAGGTTCATGTCATGGCTGTC